TGGGGGAGTTGATCTGCTCTGATGATTCATGTTGCCAGAGTTTTTCTGCTGATTCCACCCCATGATTATTTTTTACCATTTGGCTGGAGAAGCTGGTAAGAGGAAATTGAGTTGTAATTAACCAGCCCTTTACCAAAAAACTGGGACTGCTCATTGTGGCTTTTCTCATACAGCTTTACAAAGGTCCCGTTCAGTACTATAGCCTGAAACTTTGGGGACCTGCTTGGTGTGATGGAACTAGATGTCTCTGACCTATATTCAGATAGTCTCTGTCCAATCCTAGTGAATCAGTGGCTTTGGGCTGAAATCTCAGCTGTGGAGATATAAAGCAATTTAGACACCCTGCTCCCCCCCCCAACACACACACCAAAGGCGACAACTAGAAGAGGAGAATCACAGATTCCCACAACAATACAACCAGGGTACAATCTTCATGGGTTCCCTGAGTGATCGGCCCACGTCAAGAGTTCCAAACCAATTGTCCTGGTCAACACAAACACAGATCAGATGGGAGTGTTGAAAGGGTCTTCAGTATCTAGGTAGCAGGGGTGCACTGGCAGATCAAGTGTAACTCACTCCCAGTGCTCTGTGGAGTCAGAAAGGCCCGCCCAGCAAAATAGTCCAGGAGGGCTGGTGCCTCCTTTCCTACCTTGCACCTCCATCACACCCAGGCACTGATAGTCCCATGGGGCTGTGGCCTACTTCCTTCCAGTGAGCAAATGTGCCAGGGATTTGGGCCTGGAAGAGTCAGAGGGATGTCACGCTTTGTTGGCCAGGTGACCACACTCTGCCACTAGCTGGCTGGGGGAGTTGAAGTCTGACTAACTTGGGTGCTCAAATGGAACCTGGGAAGTGTTCCATCTTAGCTCATTCCAAACCAGAGGTTAACAAGGTAGCAAATGTTTTTTGCCCTGAGAGACTGTGCCTCCGCTCCAGCTGCTCTGCTCCTCTCGTATCCCTGCAATGCAAGGTCTTGCTCCCTCCATCAGTCCACAGAATTGGGGAGGTGTGTCTCTGAAATTTGACCCCATGGGATGGCTCTATTAATGCTGCTGCTAGGTGGGAGGTGTCTTCACTTGGGTTCCTGTGCCTCAGTGGTTCCTGAGCCTCCACCCATCGTGCAGAGACCCAAGCCTCTGCCCACTGCTAAGTTGTACTTTCTCAGAGCCAAGCCAGACACCTTCTGCCCTGTGCCTTTTTGCACTGTTACTGGATTCACAGTATAGCATAGCTGCGCTACCTCAGACTAAGCATTGCCCAGTCTTAACAAAGAACTTTGAATGTTGCAGTCTCTGCAGGGGTTGGACTTCTAGACCTCCAGGCCAGGGGTAAGGGTGGACTGGGAATTCAAAGTGGCCGGGAAGATATTTGTCAACCTTCATGCCAGATAAGAGAATGCCTAGGCTCACAGCAGGGACTCTGGAGAAGGAGTCCCAGCTTCTAGCAACTCGCCCCCGTGGGATGAGAGAACAGGACCTCAGTTCACCACTCACTAGTAGAGATCCCACAGCAAGCAAGCAACTCTCTTGGGGGATGGGTTGGGCACACATCCTCTTTGGGGTGGATTCTGTACCCGAAATTTGTTTCCTTGGAGTCACAGCTTGCCTCAGCAGAGAAGACATGCAATTATCAATCTCTTCTCTCAGCTCGGCTCCCACCTGTCAGCTTTGTTGGGTTCTTTCTAGCTGTTATCTCTCCCTCTGGATAGGCGCTTCTTTTGAAAACTGGCTTCAGTTGGCTATCATCCCCCACACCCCTTTGCTCTTGTTGAATGTAGAAATTGGAGTTAGAGAAAATAACCGAGGAATTTAGCAGAACACCAGGCACATTGAAACAAAACGAACAAACAAAAAAGCAGACATACAAACAAACAATCAAAAACAAACAAAAAAAAACCCCTTAAAAAACAACAAAAAAACTCAAATAGCTTGAGGTAAGCACTCTCAGCAACCATAAGAGGAAGGGGCAGGCTTGGTGCCTGTAGCCCAGTGGCCAGTGCACCAGCCACACACACCAGAGCTGACAGGCTTAAACCCAACCCAAGACCCACCAAACAATGATAACCACAACCAAAAAAACATCTAGGTACTGTGGCGGACGCCTGCAGCCCCAGCCACCCACGAGGCGGAGGCAAGAGAACCTCTCAGCCCAAGACAGTTAGAGGTTCCTGTGAGCTGCAATGCAACAGCACTCCTATGAGGGTGACACAGTGAGACTCTGTGTAAAAAAAAAAAAAGAAAGAAAGAAAGAAAGAAAGAAAGAAAGAAAGAAAGAAGAGAAAAAAAAATAATCAAAATTTTTTACTGATAACTCCTACAAGAAGGAAAAAAGAAAAAAAATGCAAAAAAGCAAAAAGAATGAGCAAAGAAAGAAGAAAAGGCAACAAAATTATTTATATATGTACATACACACACACATATACACGACTATATGCTGTAGGGATGACTTTAGTAGGAATATATTCGTGTTTCAATATACTTTCTGGACACCAGGTGGCGCTGTGAGTGATTCCCAGGCTTATACCTGTTTCCCAGTTTAGACTGTTGGTGTATGCCTGGCTACTCACCTGGTGCCTAGACCCCACCAAACTGCTGATTCCACTGATCTCAAAATATCTTCACGGACGGGTTTCACAAATTCTCCCTGCAACAGTTCCTGTGAAGTGCGGGATACTCTGGGGCAATTCTGAATGTGGGATGACTGTCTGCCAATGAGACTCAAATCCTGCCTGGCCCATGCGGAAAGGTGTCTGTGGAAACCACCATCTCCCAAATTTTAAAACAATAACCTCTTCCTATCCTGGATTTTTCCTGTCTGAGTGTCTCTCCCACCACCTAACCTCTGTGCTGCACAAGACAACACCCCACTCTGGCCGTCTATTTCTGCTCGGGAGTCCACACTTCAATCTTTCCATACAACACCTAGTTTCCCCAAGAACTGGGAATTGTAATCCTCCATTGCGGAAGGGGCTGGTTGCTGCCCCCACCCACTGCCACTGCAGCCATGGCACACTTTCCTGGCAGTCGCCGCAGCTCTGGAGTACACTCCAAGTCCAGTAATCTGCCACCTCGCTGCACACCCCAAACTGCCACTATACACCAGTATTCCACCCTGGGAAAAATCTAGCCCACTCACTCTCACCTGTTATTCCAGAAGAGCTGAGCTAAACGTCCTTCCCTTCCACTATCATGCTCCACCTCCCTGTATCCTCACATTAACCTGAAATAAATTTACTTTCAAAAAAAAAATTATAGGTAATGGTTGTACAACAACATCAATATGCTTAACACTATACTGAACATTAAATTTAGAAATTTTTAAGATGGTAAATTTTATATTATTTATTTATTTGTTTACCAAATTACAAAAAAAAAAAAGTAGTAGTAGTAGTAGTATTTGGCCTGCTATCCAGTTTGCAAATCTTTGCTATAAATACTACTGCATTAAAAAATAATTACAATACCAGGTGTCGGTGAAGTTTTTGAAAAATTGAAACTCTAATAACTTGCTAGTGAGATTTATGAAATCATTTTGGAAATTTGGCAATATTTTACAAACCTTAGTAGGTACATACCCTGTGACCACTCCTACCTATATCCTCAGGAAAATGCATATACATGGTGTCCGTTAAGTTCATGTGTAATTTAAAATTTATAAATTACAACTATTTTAAATTACACATGAACTTAATGGACATTGGACAGCTATATAAGTACAACAAAAGGTTTATAGTAGACTGTTCACAGCAGTATTATTTATAAAAAAAAATAGCTTGGATGGACCCAAAATTTCGTCAATAATATATAAATAGCATTAGCTACACCAAAAGGCAATATTATATAATAATGAAAATGTGCTACTGCTGCCTATAACAACAACATGGATTAATCTTACAGACATAAAAAGGCAAACTCCAGTACAACTAGTATATGTTTCTATTTACTTAAAAAGCAGACAGTATTATTTATTGGTTTATAATATCATTTCTTAAAGTATGATCTGGAAATCCCTAGAAGTCCTCAGAACACCTTTAGGAAATCTGTTAGGTTGAAACTACTTTCTTAATAATATTAAGAGTTTTATGCATGTGTCTTTTTCACTCTCATTCGCTCACTCACGTGTATAGTAGAGTTTCTCAGAGATCATATAATGTATGTTATTATTAGTGATTGCATATAGAAGCAGACATGAGAAGCAAAGCCAGATGTCTTCTCTTAAGCCAGACATTAGGGAAATTCCCATGATATGAAAACAACATCTCCATGAATTTTTTCTTGGAAGAAAGAGTTGTGTTAGGACATGTTGTTTATGATAATATATAAAGGATTTATTACTTTTATAGTTAAATAGAAAAATGTATTTTTTCACCTTGTCATTTAAATTTTATAATAGGGTAAATGAACTATATAAGCAAAGACTCTCTGGAGTTTTAATAATTTTTAAGAGTTCAAGAGAGTCTCAGGACTGAAAAGTTTGAGAAATACTTTTAGAAAGCAGGGTAGTTACTGCTGGGTAATAAAATGGGTTTAATGATTGGAAGGTGGCATGTAGGGAATTTCTTGAGTGTTGATAATTTCGGTTTTTACTTTAGTATAGTGTGTGTAGATGTATTTAACTTATTAGAAATCTTTACAGGCTATAGATGTTTATGATATTTATATTGTATACCTATAAACAAGTGTCCTATACATAGTAATCTTGGCAAATTATCCATTGATATTCATGACCTATCACATGACATCAGAAATACAATGTGATACCATGAGAGCCCTCTACTGACTACAGGCCATCAACTTATGTCATCAACATGCTGTGTTGATGTTATCTGTAGTTAATGTTATCAGTGTAGTGTCATCTGTAGTTAATGTTATCAGTGTAGTGTGTTGATGCATGTTGAGGAGTAATCAGATGTGTATTGCTTGGTTTCCTGCTCTATCCACTTTAAATCTAAAATACCCTATTAATGATTTTTTCTGACTGTATGTTTGTTACCTTCCCAGGAAGAATCCCATCCATTTTCAACACTTCAGCCACCCTGGTGACAGTGATTATGGAGGTGTACAAGTCAGGAGCCAAGATGAGACTGATGACCGGCCTGAATGTCCCTATGGAGCAGCCTGTTATAGGTACATAGATCTAGATGTTTGGCTGCACTTTTTTTCTTTGTAATCTTTGTTATATATTTAGGAGAAACTGCAGGCAGCTTCTTATCTCAAGCCTTTAACTTTTAGTTTTTAAACTACAAATTACAGGTTTTTGTTTTGTCAGCTGGTAGAATTGCATTTCTTTCTTTTCTTTTTTTTTGAGACAGAGCCTCAAGCTGTCCCCCTGGGTAGAGTGCCATGGCTTTACTGCTCACAGCAACCTCCAACTCCTGGGCTCAAGCGAGTCTCCTGTCTCAGCCTCCTAAGTAGCTGGGACCACAGGCGCCC